CTTTACATTTTATGTATTCTAGGCCAGGATGCATGCATGAGTTCATTTCCTCAATTGCCTCAGTTCAGTGACTGGCAATAATGGATGGAATGCAAAAACAGATTTCACCCTATATGTCAGTACATAACACCTCAACTGATAGCTGACTAGCCTCTTGTAGTGGCATATGTCATATAACTACTACTACCAGACTATAGCTCTGAAAGGAAACTAAGGGTGTAGCGCTTGAGCTACACTATATCATGTGTTAAAGTCATGTTTTGATACAGTGCATAGCCTATAGGCATATACAGTAGTGGGCAGTGAGGGGCACATGTGCTGTGCAAGGTAGGGTTGCACAAGCGCCCAGGGAGAGGCTTTACATGTGGTAAGAGTTGTGATTAGAACTGATCTAAGGCTAACCCTAAGCTGTGCTATTGGAATCCAACCCTAACCCTGTGGACATTACAAGATTTTGTATGTGGCGCCTATTTCAAAACTAACCTCTGATCAGCTGGGTTCCAAATTTTTTTCCCACGTACACGACTTGAGTTGGCAGAAAGGTCACCCCATAAGAAACGATTTCTTTGTTCCTCATCAATCGTAATTGTCGTCCTCCTCCACCAGCTCATAGAGCTCCTGGTCCTCCTCATCGATGTCCTTGGTTGCTTTAGCTTTTGGTATGTCAAATTGACGCAGCAGGGTCTTAACGACAAGGTTGATGACGTGTGCGAAGCAGCGCACATGCCCTAGAGCACCCTCAAAGCTCTTGATGCGCTCACCAAGCAGCTCAGTCATGACATTGTTGGGCGACACATTGTCACATGAGAGACAGCTGAGCTGATGCACCTTGGCGACCTCCAGCAAGTCAAGGAGCATACTGATGGGCTCATCATTGAGGACAAAGTGCACTGTCACGGCGATGAATGTGGAGTGATTGGGTGAGGTCCACGCATCTGTGGCAAAGCTTAGGTTGCCCTCGTCCTCTTGGAGGAGGTGCACAATCTTCTCACGACACTTAGCGTAGATGACTTGGATGTCGCGAGCTATGGTGGATGGTGAGGGGATCCAGTATCCCGGGCGGCCAGTTTTCATGAGGCTCTGGAAGCCCAGATCCTTCACAATGACATGCGGACGCATGCTCTGAGTTACCCACTTCACGATCTCGACCCTGATTTACTGCCACTTAGCTGGCACTGACAAACATATCCATTGAGCACGCACCTGGTCTCAGCATGGGTGTGGGTATGGTGCAAGTACAACACCTTGCCCTTCTTCTGCTCGAAGCTGTATGTAATGGTTCCATCTCTTTGCAGGTCTCCAACAATTTTCTCTTGGACCTCGGCAACATTTGCCACCTTGTCAGCCTCCTTAAGCACCTCGGGACCCCAGCACTTCCACACATGATGGCGAAGGTTGCCTGTCGAGGACAAGTCACCTGTGTCAAGGAAGCGACAACAAGCGTACCCACATCCTTTGGCCAGGCAGGTGAAGACATGCGCATGGCAGCCCTTTTTGTACACGATCTCCGGCGTAGCCTTGTAGAAGCTGTAGACTGGGGACGTCCAGTCTGCCTGGAGCCGCTCTAGGATAGAAGGTAAGCACCTGTACCTAGATGAACAGAATATGATACACTCACCGAGCTCAGTGTCTGAGGACTCCTCGTCATCACTGGCAGCGGCGGGCTCCGTTGCATCAACATCCATCATGTCATCGGAAGACTTTGCACCGGCACCTTCCTCTGCCCGACTCGTCGACAACAACAATGTGCTCACGTTCCAGCTCAGCGTGTTCCTCCTCCTCTGTGTGGCAGGTGGTCTGGCGATGACTGCCATGCTGGGAAGAGGAGGTGGTTGCAGAAAAGCGAATGGAGGTGTCAGTTGGCATGCACGACAGGGTGCGACTGCCTCCATCCCCCTTGGTGTGCTCGTCTGCAGCGCTGTCTAAGCCACGCTCAGATGGGTGGGGCTTCTTGGTCGCGCTGGGCATGCGCCCACCGGTTGACATGGCAGTGCGTTTGGTCATGGTGAGTTGGAGAGGTTGAGTACGATGAGGGGAGTTAAGTTGTGTTTGTGAAGGTGTTACTGGCACGGACACAAAGAAATACCGCTGGATTACCTAATAACTGTATAGTGGCTGGATTAATAAATTTCCACTTGTGGCTGAGTTCTCAAATGAGTGCCGGCGTTCAGTAGGCCGGTGTACCCAATAGGAAACTGTGGCGGGTTGGCACTTGGGTCTCAGGTGCTGCACAGGTATGGGTGATATCCTGCTCGGGTGCCCTCTCCCTGACCCCAACCCCTGACCGCATGACCCTTGGGTCAAACCTGCGATGGGTAACCCTACCCATGATGAACCCTACAGTGCAGGCTGTTCAAGTTGGCAATTTCCTTCCCATTGAGGCCATGTTTAAGGGAATCTTCACTATGTGCATACAGTTGAGATGCTGGTGCAAGTCCAAAGAGAGTACACCTCCGTGAATCTGTACACCATGGTAGTGCAATGGGCATATATTACAATACATATCATACCAAAGTACAGCTAATACATTGACAAATTATATGGGAACTTGCCAGGTGAAACAGCATGTAGTACATGGGGAAAGAGCTGGCAAGGATTCAGCATCGGGGTGGCCTTACCTTGTTCAGATCTCCACTACTCCGGTACCTCCTTACAATACTGCCCATGCCCTTCCTATGCTTCTGCAATATGTGCGCCATCCAATATCCGTCTATGAGTGCCACGGAGGTCACGGGAACTTGGGTTTAGTTGAAGTGTGTGGATTGCGACGAAAGCAGTATCTTGCTCTGCGGACGGATGAGGAGATTGGAGAACTGAATGGATTAAGGCAAGATATCAGGCACTGAGCGAGTTATGGACGTCCGAAGTGGACGTGTTCCCAGAGTGACAGTGTGTCAAAATCCCAGCTACCTTCTAGGTAGTGGGTCTTCATACCTTGCATTTTTATAGGGCGCCCCGCAAGAAATTTCATTTCACGTGATAAATCACGTGCTTGCATTCTTTGCACAAATACTTAGATACACGGTGCATGATGAACTCTGAACCTGGAAGGCTGTAAGCCGCACAAAGAGAGGTCTTCAGTCTGTGAGAGAACGACTATGATTGCATAGTACTGTACCTGTAAGCCGCACAAAGAGAGGCTACAAGTACTAGTAAGTAAACATGTAAGGAAGCATAGGTAGTATGGGACTTACTCTTCAGTCTGTGAGAGAACGACTGAAGAGCAGAGGCCTGCAGAGTCCTCCTTATATACTACTGGGGAGGACAATGAGTAAGCGTATAAGAAGAGAGCATGTGACGTCCAGAGGACGCTGACTGAGCGATGAGTAACGCTGAGTAAGGGAGCATAATCGACATAAGGTCAGATAGTCCATGGCTGAGTAATGCGAGTAATCCGGACGCTGTCTAGAATAGTCC